AAGTATCAAAGTGGCGTCTCGTGTGGAAGTGTGAAAGCGAAGCTTCCGAAAACTAGTTTTCTCTTTTTTGAAGCCTTAGAAACGGCCAAGTAGGTCGATATTGGTATCAAATGAAAGCTCTCGACGAGAGCTTTCGATCGCGCTATCGCACGACTCTGTAGCTATAGCCGTTCTCGAGATAGAAGGGGTTGAAGAAAAAACTTCTCCGGGCATTTATTCCGTCCAGGAGTACTAATCAGATCCGGGACCATGCGGAAAATATTCCTCTCGAAATTACCTTTCGATTGAGACCCCACTCGATAAGATTGGTTTCCTAAGTCTGAATTTGCCCAGACCCTTTGAAGAATCTTGATAGCGCGGTGATCTTCGCGGCTTCAGCCGTCGCACCAAAGCGCTTATTTAGTTTGTCCCAAATGTCTGAAGCAGCAGCATCTTTGACTGTCGAGCTGAACTTCGAGGCAACCAGATTCTGTGATATGGAATTTAGCAAGATGGCTTTTGCAGCCAGATTTGCTTTCTTGAATTTGTCGGCCGTAGCCGGAATCTTCTTGTCAACAACATCCCAGGCATCCCCATCTAATTGGAGAAGCGTAGTCACAGTCGATTTCCATGCCAGAAAATTGGAACCGTCGTCCGCCAGTATTACCGCACCGAGTCGACTGAATTTTCTACCAGATAAGCTTTCAGAAGTAGGGTCGGCCATCACCCTTACTTGATTGGTACAGAGTTGAGGTGGAGCCAAGTCGCGATCACAAAGATCAAACGAATCCTCAATCTCTGACACTTTTTGCATGCGCCGAAAAAACCTTGTGCAGTTGCTCGTAGCTGTACGTCTAAACCAAGAGGTAAAGAGCTTCAGCTTACCCTCACGATCGTTGAGGAGATGCACAGGACCTCTGTGCAGCCAGTTGGTAAGGGCAAGAGAGCTGATAACGTGTTGAAGGTCAAGATTCGTAGCTCTGGTCAGGAGTAGAAGAGCAGCCCGTTCAGGAATACACAGAGATGCGATCTCACGAGAGGGAGATACCACAGTGAATTTTATTCGAAATCTTAGGTCTTTTATACCTAGGCAGGAGTCTAAGCTCCTCCTTACATGTCCTGATCCGTACATACATATACATAGGATAAGGCTACCCTGGTCTATCATAAGTAGCGTCCTAGAATGCTATTGGGTGTACCTAGCATGTGGGGTGCTAGCCCAATTTCGTACTACCTCAAGGGTATCATGCTAGAGTCGAACCTTCGGGGTATAACCCCGGTGACTCACGTATTTTACTACTGTCACGGGTATATGGCCCCGTGGGTTGGTATGAGTCATAGTCCTAGTACGGAACGAGGACTAGTAGTTTCCAGTTTCTACCTAAACCTCAACACAGATCCCCCATAAAAAAGAGTCGATCACATACATCGCACGCATGCCCGAACTCATTTTCAAGAAACATCTCGAAACGGTCGCTGGCACGTCTTCATGCGCTCGCGTAACCCGCACCCCTGTGTGTTCTATCAACTACGTCGGAGCTCGTGAGAAGCCCTTCGGGGGCGCGCTCGCTTTGGGCGGAGAGCCCCGGTCGAATAGTCTACGGGAATCTCAGCAACATCGCGGTTTTCTACGGCATCTCGATGACGAGCTCGTCGTGCCCGCGATCGTTCGGTGGATGTTCTCGGCCGTTTCGCGGTACGGTCTGGATCGGTCCCTCTCTTGAGAGCTTCCCGCTCCCGCGCCTGGACGCTGCGGGTCTTTGGTCTCATGATCAAATCGATGACCTCAAAAGTTAGATATCCAAGGAACCTCAAGATGACACTTCGTTGTAGTCAATAATCTCGACTGAGCTTTCGGTTCCTTCGACGATCGTTCTTTGAGTCAGATTTTTCACCTCGTCGGACGACTTTGCTCAATTAGCGTGAACGCCCTCGGTAGATGACATTCTGAGCAACCACTATACGGCTCGTTGACACGGAATATCTCATCGTTCGTCTAAAAATAGTCTATTCATGCTTGAATCTTGAACTTTTCGGGGGTATGCAGGAATCGGCGTCGGAAACCCCTTAGCTAATTGTAAGCGCCTGTGGAAAGTCGACCTGAAAGATCTCCCGTAAATTCCCAATCTTTCCTCAGTCGGCCGGTGCAGCGGTGCCGCGTATCAACGGAGTTCTAGCGCCGCAAAAAGCCCGGAGATTTCGTTGCATGGAGGACGAAGTTTATTCGTCTGGCTGCTCAAGCGATTTTAAAGACGTTTTCACGTCAAAAGCCTGAAGTTTCAGCCCGATCGGCGTGGGGCATGTTCAGTACTTCCCTTGTTGGTGGTCGAGATTCGAAGATCGGATACAAAATGACCCACAACTAAACGATCGATCCAAATATGATTACATTCTCCAGTATTTATCGAAGGAGGTGAAAGAGCGACTCAAAACAATCCCGGTGGACGAAGAGTTCTACGAAGTAGCGGTGAGCAGACTTAAATCGGAATTCGGAAACGTTGAAAAACTAAGAACGCTCTATACGCAGCGGCTCATGACGGTCAGATCGGTCGCGGATCGATACGACAGATCGGGATTGAGAGAGCTACTCCAAATCATTCACACGAGCATAGCCGCTCTCGGGAAGATCGGATTACAGAAAGAAACAATCGCACCGTTCCTTTTCCCGAAGCTCAAAGAGAGTATCCCCGTAAACATATATCTCGAATTCAGGGCCAGCATCCGTTCGGAGAAACCAGAAAATCATCTTACTTCGTCGACATCGACGATAGCCACAGCAGATCAGTTGGACAAATTACTCGAATTCATCGAGGACATCGTGGCAGATCTAGAAGACGTAGACGAGCGTCAACTGAGACAAGTACAGTCAACCAACAACGACCACTGACTGGTGCCGACGTCAATAGCTCTGAAGACGGAAATGAAGCCGATCAACCGACGGAAAACCGAGGAGGACCGCAGAACCCCGAGAGAGTATCCTCAGCAGCCGTGCATCTTCTGCAGGTCACTTGGACATAGGACCCAGGCGTGTGACAACACCGCAATGGACGTCAGACAGAAACGGGAACTTCTGATCAGAGAGAACAGATGCTGTAGGTGTACCAAAATCGGTCACCGTGCGTCCGTCTGTCGTAGCACAACTTACTGCACAAAATGCAATAAGAAGGGGCATCTAACACCTTTATGCAACCCAGTCACAGCAATAACCACGCACTGCAGTGGCACCGATCCTCAGACTTCTGTTCATGTGTGTAACCCTGGGCAATCATCATCCCAATACTATATAACGGTAGTTGCAACGGCTGTCGGACCCAAGGGAGAAACCGTACGAGTAAGAATTCTCTTCGATTCGGGATCCCAAAGTTCCTTTGTCAGAACGGAGATCGCCGACAAGCTGAATATAGACCTCAAGCGGATCCCGAAGATTCCTGTATCTCTGACGATGCTGAATCAGGCAACTGTGATGACGAATACATCAATAATAGAGTTCAGACTGCAGAACCAAGAGGGAGGACCCACGGATTGGTTCAAATTCTACACACTCGATAAGATATGCAGGGGCCGCGTGCAGCCGGCTGTGGACGCGGTGACAAGAAGGCAACTGCAAAAGTTGAATATCGAGCTCTCTGATAGTCACGACATCGACGCGCCAATCGACATACTCATTGGAACGGACCAATTAGTCGGAATCCAGACGCACAACGCTCATCGACTCGAGAGGACTCTAGAGGTTGTGGAGACAGCATTTGGCTGGGCTCTCTTCGGATCCAGAGGAGCTGAGAAGGGGAACGGCATGGCTGTCAATCATGTGAGACTCAGCTGTTTGCACTGCAGCATCCCACACATCGACCCGGTGAAACAAGACGACGGACTGGAAGACCGCTTCCGAAGGTTCGCAGAGGCTGACGCAATGGCGATTGAGAGGGAGGCACGCGACGAAGACCAGCAGTTTCTCGAGGAGTTCATGAAGAAGGTGACATTCGACCCGAAAATGCACCGGTTCATGGTCGATCTTCCATTCAAGAAGAATCTGCAACCGGGCCTCAACTTAGCATTGGCAAGAGCGAGACTGAGGTCCCTCGAAAGGAGCTTAGAGAAATCAAAGATGCGGGAGAAGTATGCGGAAGAGATCCAAAGTTTTTTAGACTCGAAGTTTATAGAGCCGGTACCTGAAGGTCAGCAACCAAGCAGCCTGACCTCATACCTTCCACATAAAGAAGTTATCAAGCAAGAAAGTTTAAAGACGAAACTCAGAATTGTCTTCGACGCCTCCGCAAAAGAGAAGGGATGCTTATCATTGAACGACACCCTACACACCGGTCCGAATCTAACGCAAGACATGCTCGCGGTGCTTATGAGATTTCGAACCAAGAAAGTGGTCCTGCTGGCGGATGTCGAGAAGAGTTTCCCGCAGATCGTGATTCGGGAGGCTCATCGAGGCACATTGCGGTTCCTCTGGAGAGCAAAAGGATCGCAGGAGCCACAGGTGTTCCGGCTCACGCGCAACTACTTTGGGTTCGCTAGCTCCTCCTTCATACTCGCAATCTGTACTCGAACCCTTCTCCGATGGCACAAATCTAAGAATCCAGAAACAGTTGCGGCTATCGAGAGGAGTTACTATGTCGACGATCTTGCCACAGGAGCAGACTCGGATGACCAGGCGATACGGCTTTATCAGCAAGCAAAGGAAATTTTCCGGTACGGCTCCTTCAACCTTAGAAAATGGACATCGAATTCACCGAAACTGATGAGCTTGTTTCGACAACACGGTGATGGAGTCGAAGAGTTCAATGTGGCCAGTACCTATAATATGCTCGGGATGCAATATAGCCCCAGGACAGACTCAATTGGTCTGAAAGTGAACGCAGTTAGCGCCGATCTCAAGATTGTTACGAAGAGAGCGGTGCTGAGCGTGATAGCGTCAGTATTCGACCGCATTGGCATTGTGGCTCCGCTGTTAGTTCCAGCGAAGCTGCTGATGCAGAAAATGTGGACGTTGAGACTGGCCTGGGACGATCCAGTACCGGAACAGATATGCATCGATTTCAAGAAATGGGCTGGGGAGTTGAAGAACATTGAATCCATCAAAGTTCCGCGGCGATACTGGAGCCGAGACACACGAGCAGATACAACGCTACATATGTTCTCGGATGCATCGCAGTACGCCTACGGGTTCTGTGCGTATGTTGTCACGCGCACAGAAAACGGTGTGGAGAGTTCCTTGACATTGGCAAAATCTAAGGTTGCGCCGCTCAGGAATGCAACGATTCCACGTTTGGAGCTCATGGCCCTCGCTCTGGCAGCCGAGGCGATGAGCTATATCAGATCAGAGAGCCAGATCGCCTTCGATGAAGAGTACATTTTGACAGACAATTCAGGCGTGTTTTACCAAGCCACGAGCGAAAATCCAGAGAAGCTCGCGACATTCACACGGAACCGAGTGCAGAAGATACAACATCACGCAGAGAATGCAAGGATACGTCACGTCCCAGGCGAGCTGAATCCAGCCGATCTCGTGAGCAGGGGATGTGGTTTCAAGGAATTCGTGAAAATGAATGGTTAATCGGACCGAAGTTCATCAGAGAATCAACCGACGAGTGGCCGCGCCAGCCTGACCAAGCCCCCGCGAGATACAAGTCAACAAAGTCGACAGGAAACCCATACGGTTTCAAAGCTTCATTGCTACCAGGCCTGAGAACGATCACCAGGTTCAAGTACTGGTAGGCACCCCCAGCGATGATTCAGAGCGAGCCGTCGGAGCCTTGGTGTTGCGCTTCGATACTTGCAGCCGATGGACAATCTACCTGCGAGCAATATTTCGTGTTCGAAGAGCGATTGAACGTTGGAGAAAGAGAATCACAAGAGAGATGATGTCGAGACCGATTTTGTGCAGAGAGCTCAGAGCGGCTGAGGATTTCATCGTTTCACAGGTTCAACTAGATGCCTACAGTCAGGAAGTGCGGGACTTGAGAGCGGGATCCGAAGTTTCGAAGAATTCTACTCTGCGCGTGTTCGACCCCTTCGTACAGAATGGCCTCATCGTTTTGGGGGGAAGATTGAGAAGCTACGTAGGAGAGCTCCCCAAACATCCGGTAATCCTGCCGCCTAAACACTCGGTTACAAAGCTGCTACTGAAGGATATCCACCAGCGAAGCGGACATGCAGGGCCGAGTCAGGTTATCATGACAGCCCGAGCCAGGTACTGGATACCACAAGGCAGGCGAATTGTGCAGAACCTTATCCACGGGTGCCCGAATTGCCGCAGATTCCATGCACGACCAGCTTCGACAACTATGAGCCCGCCACCCGACCTCAGGATGACAAAATCCCAACCTTTCGAACACGTGGGAACTGACGCTGACGTTCTCGGCCCATTGTTCGTCAGAGAGGGCAACCAGCAGAAGAAGATTTGGGTGGTCATCTATACATGTTGCGCAATGCGGGCAATATGTTAGTTTTAGACAGATTCTTCGGTTAAGAGAGTCGACAGCCAGATGGGAAATCTGTCACCTGAACCGCAGAAATGACCCGGATCGATCCTTCACCAAGAGACCGCTTCCGCGCTCTATTTCGTTTATTTCTCGGAATCACGTAGCTCGTCTTGGTCCGTCAATTAGGCGCTCACTGTAGGGACCTCTGTCTCTCTCACAATATTTGCTGACTAGCGTACCCGCCCGCGCTTCGCTGCGGCAAATAGACGGATCGACACCAAGGACACGTTCGGCTAATGAAGGTAGACCGCCGCAAATCATGGTTCGTTTTCTAGCCATTCGTGTAGAGGTGAAATAGGAAAACTCTTGATCACACTACTGATTACTACAGAATCAGACTCTAGCGGATAGGATGTCGAGTTTCTTTTATTCGGTAGTCGGCAGGGGTATCTCCAGCTCCTCGAACTCTGAGAAAACACCTCCCGTCAGCCACCACTTTTTCAGATATTCTTTTCGTGTTTCGCCGGTCGGTTCACCATCGTTGAAGGTGGTGTTCGCCATCGAACCGAGAACTATTTTGCCACGAAACTCTTTTACGGTTATCGACTTGATAGATACGGGACAGCCCTCATGTCTGTTAATTTTTCCACGTGCTTGTT